TAAGTTCAGCCCAATCTGAGAGCCTCAACCTTCCTCATGCTGCCACCCTTTCATACGTTCTTCCTGTGGTGGCAACCCTCAACCATCAAATTATTTTCGTTACTACTTCATCACTGTCATTTTGCTACTGCTATGAATTGGGCGACCCCTGTGAAAGGGTCGTTCAACCCCCAAAGGGGTTGCGACCTACAGGTTGAGAACCGCTAGCCTAATGCAAGCTACTTCTAATCAGGTAATATATCCCACCCACTGCCATAGAGCAGGCTCTGATTCGCTACAATCTTCCAGGGCTGAGCCGAACAGCCTCTTTGGGTTTCTGAGTCTGTCAATCTTGATCCTAGGCAAAAGGCCAAGCAGCAATTGAGTCTAAATCTTCACAGGAGCAGAAAGCCTCTGCATCTTTCTCCCTCAGCATCTCTGGTGGGTTTGAACTGCCCACCTTGTGACTAGCCATCTAATACGTAACCCACAGCAGACCAGGGCTCCTTGAGTGAACAGATTGTTGCAAGGAGTTCCTGAGTTGTGCAAAGGGTTCATATACCCTGTTGCTCCCTGGAACGTGAGCAGGTCAAGACCATCCAGAGGGGCCTCAGAAGAAAAGCCTGATGGCCCCTTCTGGAAGGCCATGGGCCCCTGACAAGCCCATGGCACACAGATCTACTGGGATGCATACAGGTCGCCGTGAGCTGGAATCAAATTCCTACTTTTTTTTTTGCCCGGGTGGAGTGGGGGTGATGTAGCTTCATTATTAAGGGTTTTCGCATGTATATCTTCAATAACTCAGTGAACTAAGAATTTCTAGGCATCAGTATGCTAACCAAAAGGTCAGTAATTCAAAACCACTAACTAGTTGCTCCAGGGAGAAAGACGGAGGCTGTATGCTTCCATGAAGATTCAGTCTCAGAGACGCTCTATAGGGTCACTATGAGTTGGAATCTACTCTACGGATGGCAATAAGTGTGGTACACACACACACACACACACACACACACACACACACACACACTACTGCAGTTTTAGCCCAGCAGCTGCTCCTCCTCAGGAGACGGCTGTGGCAGTCAGCTTCTGTCAAGATCTACCGCCTTGGAAACCTTCCGGGGCAGTTCTACTCTGTCCTAGAGGGTCTCCATACTTACTGGACAGCAGTGGGTTTTTGTTAGACAAGTGAAGGCATGGAGGCTCAGGGAAGAGAAGTAACTATCTCCTGAGCTAGGCACCGCACAAGCAATGGCTGAGCCTGGGCCTGGGTCTCCTGACCCCACCGTTTGCATCCTGTCCTGTGGATAAGGAACCTTCAGCGAACTAGGTAACCTTCCTGGTTGGTGAGCTGCTGGAGGACAGGGCCGATCACCGCTCCTCAGGACTTGGCACAAGAGTTGGCGCTCGGAATGTGTGTGATGACTGTCTGATGGCAGGTGTGAGTGAGCAGCAGGAACTCTGGTGTGGGAGAGATTAGTGGAAGCTGCTGTGGCTGGCCTTCTTTCCAAGGTGGTACTTGGGCTTAAACGGCAGTAGTATTTGGAGGGCGAAGGCGGGGGGATGGGACAGGACAGGAGGAGCAGAACGAGCAGATTTGGGAGCTGGGCAGAGCCTGATTTGTTCTGCAGGGTCAGTCATTCTGTTCTTTGTACCTACAGACCCAGGGTGCGAGTTCCCTGATTCTGGACCTCATCATTCCTTTCCTGAGACCAGGGGATTGTGTCCTGGTGAGGAATCCTACCCTTCTCCTATCCACACACCCCTAGCACATTCTCCTCTGTACACTGATGAGTCCAATCCACAGAAATGTTTGGCTTGGCCAGCAGTGTCTGAAACTGGCATGCGTTGGGAGTTGGTACATACACACACACACACACACACACACACACACACTGAATTTCTGGCTGGCTTCTCTTGAAAAGTTGAAAAGCCTGTTGTCCATGCCTGGAGCTCAGAGCCATCTAGACTGCTTCAAAGGTCTCCAGGGCCTCATGTTCCCTTGGCCAACTTAAGTGCTTACTTTAAGTTTGGGCCCAGCCACACCACATTCCACACTGCTTTGCAACCCCTGACCTGTTCTATGCCAGGCCCTGAACAGACCCTGCAGCTGGAGGTTCACTGTGCCATGGGCCTGTCCTTCTCCACCCCCAACCCTCTTCCCATTCATGGCCCCCTGGGAGGAGGATCACCACTTGCTGACAGGGCTGGGGGATTCTGTGCCCACAGGTGTGGCGCTCAGATGTCCAGTTCTCCTGGAAACATTTCTTGTGCCCGGATGGTGAGTTCTTGGGGGGTGGGGGTAGGGGGTGGGAATGACCTTAAGAGGGAGATTAGGCACTCAGGAGCTCTGCTGGCCTCAGTGTCCCATAGGCACCTGGGGCTCTTGATCCTGGGAGCACTGGCCCTCACCACGCTGCTGGGCATTGTTCTGGCCCTTGTGCACCGGCGCCCACTGTCTGGTAAGTTCTCCTGGAGGTAACCTGGAGAACCACACCTGCCCAGCTCCTAGGCCCAGACCTGGCCCCGACTCCTGCCATGCCCAGGGTTCCTTCCCAAAGAGCCATCCCTGCCACCCACAGAGTGAGACCCCCTCCCGCCCCCCACTCCGTGGGCAAGAATGGCTCTTGGGGAGGGTTGCTCATGGTGGAACCAGGACTCTGGGCAAATAAGAACTAGCCCGACACTCTGCTCAGGATGAGGCACCTTTATCTAATTAGTCCACAGGTACCATTTAGGCAAGGGCGCAGCTAAGGGGCGGGGGCACCCGGCAGTGTAGCCCCGGGACGAGAACCGGGAGGGTTGGGCTGGGCCTCAGCCGCGTCCCTGCTTCCCGCGCCCACAGGTCCCGGCCGAGCGCGGCCCGTGCTGCTGCTGCACGCGGCGGACTCGGAGGTGCAGCGGCGCCTGGTGGGCGCCCTGGCGGAACTGCTACGCGCCGCGCTGGGCGGCGGGTGCCGCGTAGTGGTGGACCTGTGGGAAGGGGCGCGCGTGGCGCGCG